CCATCGGCTCTGTTTTCCTGTTCCTATACATCACAGCAGGGGGAGTAGCCTCCTACATGAAGGTTTCCTGCAGCTAAAAGGTGTTTCATAGACTAGAATGTTTCTTTATGCTTTTCTAGATATCATAATCTTTAAGAGGTGAAGCTAAGTGAGGATTTTTGAATTCCTGTAACTTCCTATCCTGCTCACAAATTAATCTATATAAGTAGATCACAAATCTGACTTAAAAATATACGGAGGAGGAGAAAATGTTTATAACTCAAAAGTACAGATCCCACAAGCTCCATTTTTTATGTAGTGACAGATAAGCTAGGTTTTCATCATTTGTTCATTTGGACACAAACTTTGTAAATTATTTATTTATTTAAAACACGTCAGACACTTAACCGCCTAAGCCACCCAGGCGCTCCAATTATTTATTCATTTAAAACACCATCATACTACCACACATTAAGAGTGATATAGGCTGAGACTTTAAATTTGCATCAATAAAATATTGCGCCCTTTGGATACATTCATTATATTTGTCAATATTGACAATAGGTGTGCAAAACCTTTTAAACTTTCTGGAAATAATGCTTTATTTAAAAATGTTATAACGAGTTCTTTCCTTGGCTTATTCAGCACCTGATATTTATAGCATCATTAAGTCTTCAATTTTCAAATAATGAAAAAAAAAAGAAAGTCTCCTGTGCTTTTTCTATTTCTTCTCAGAGTAGGAAACATGCCTTATTTTATTATGTCTATATCTGAATAAAGCTTTTACAATTAAGTACCCCCAAACTCTGCCATTTAACTCCATTTCTGAAGAAATAATGCTTTGGTCTCTACAATTTAAAAATGTTATTTCCTCTCCGTCTTTGCTGACCTCCAAGGGAATGAGCACATCACAGCAACCTGATGCTAACTCCGCTCCCGTAACCACTGTATTCAGACTAAATGAATTCGCTGCACTTCCTGCTGCCAGTCACCCTTCTCTCGTGCAGTCAGCATCACATGACATCTTTCAGTAGTCTCTGAAATGACTCCGTTTTCCAGATCCACATTAGAAGTCTTCACCCACACGCTCTTCTCTCAGCCTCTTGTATCTGTCGGTGTGCCACCCCGCCCCCTGCTTCCTGCAGTCTTGCTGCAAACATTATCCTCACCAGCTGCAAATGAAACCTTGTTTCCCTTCAATTTCCCAGTAAACCAAATCCATATGCTGTACTTGAGAGCCCCTGTTCTTCCCATCCACCAATCTACCCTCTCACGCTGCTTCTCTAATAGATGTTCTGCTACTTCACATCTCTCAAACATGGAGGCGGGAGGTCAGGAACCCACGGGGCTCCAGTGGGGGACGGATACAGGACTGTGTGCAGAGCTGACCGAGGGCTTTAGTACTATCTAATCAGCAATATTTCCTCTCCCCCACAGTTCTCCCACATATTCTCAAATCACACTGGGAACCAAAGCAAAACATGAAGTATCAATAGCTGATGCGGTAAATTCCCATGACTGCCATACAAAGTAGTGACTCTGCACTACTGATGCGGGTAACAACTAGGGAAGCCACATGCGAATAGCAGTTGCATTACCCTTCTCAGAAATCAGCGGGGGTGAAGCAACAGTAAAGTTCAAGGGAGCACTGCCTCAAGAGTTGGTAGATATGAAAGTATGCTCAGTCAGATTCTCTCGTCCAATTTTAAACGAAGACATAATTGGAGAGGCCTCTTCTATGCCACAGGCTTGAGCAATGGAAACTTGAGCAAGGCGGAAGGGCCCAGAAGGACTAGGAGCTTAATGCAAACAAGCTCATTAAGTGACCCACCTCACAGTGGCCTTAGGCCCTAACTAGCCAAGGGGCTTACTTCACAACCAAGCATTGTTCTCAAAAACAGGGAAAATTCCATACGTTTCCATCCTTCCTCACTCCACCCTGTAACTATATAGCCCCTCACCACAGCCTCTTGGCAGACAGTCTCTCCTTTGCTGCCCTGCCCACGGCTCCCGTGCAGTATGTTCAGTAAATTTCTATCTCCTTTGTCCTGCCTTGGGTGAATTCTTTTGCCTCCTGCTCAACTAGCCCCCACCCGATCTGGATGCACCGCAATAATTTCTCAAGGAAAACTAAACTTAGGAATACTTTCATTTTTGTGTTAAGGCTCCTCGAAGAAGAGGAAGGAAAACTGTAGCCCCTCAGTTTATTCATACTCCCTTGACTCTTTTCAGCATTTATCCTGCCCTGAGAATTGGTAGCACTAACTCTTTAATCTCAGACTGCTTCTTAGTGTCACTTACTTTCTGGAGACACAATACTGACAATGAAAATGCCTATTCATTTGTTTGTCTTTGTCACTTAGAGTGTATTAGAGGTGTCTTAATGCTGTATTAAATATACTCATGCTGTTATAATAGAGATCATGTTCCATGTGTCAATACCATGCTAGGAAAGAGCTGTTGTTGACTTAACATCTTGCGAATCCCTCAACACAGTGTTCTGAACGTAATGAAACTTATGCTGAATGATAGTGTGCTGTGCACCTGCCCGTCATGTGATTTTGGTCCTCGAATCCATCAATTCATGTCTTCAAAGCAATACACACGCGCTTATACATGCGCACACATACACACTTTTTTTTTTTTTTTTGGTAATTTTTCTTAGGTTCAAGGTTCTCCACAGTCAGTTCTTTGTGGATTTCTCAGATCTCATCTCTGTAGATCTCTACACAAATAAGCAATCCCAGTAGCAGGTGCAAGGAGTAGGTCTTTTCACCTTTGCCCAGTCCAGAGTTTTAAAATTCTAGGACTTCTTTAAATATCAAAGCCAGAGGAGACTAGATAGGACAATATGGATAAAATTCTCCAATTTTCTATACCCAACAATGACACCAGCTAAAGTCAGCAACAGAAACAACAGGTCGACAGTGCCTGGGAATTCTCTCCTCTTGGCTCCAGGTTTTACTTGCTTTATTTGCTTTTAATGCCACTGCCACAAGGCAGAGATCCTTTTAATGGGGCAAAACGGAGAATGTGCAGAGCAGTGCTGGCAAAGACTTAACTAGACCTTGTCAAGAGCCCACTGTCTCTAGGCTATACTCGCTCTTAGAGTTCAAGGGATGCAAACTGGAATAGACTTCTGCACATTTACTCCATTGTTTTGTCTCTCCTTTCCCATAAAGTCTGGCTGGCCTGTGGGTAGTTTTTTGTTTGTTTGTTTCTGTTTTTTCCTAAATCTATTAGCTTAACTTCTACTGGCTAAACTGGACATCTTTCATCTCACCTTGTGCAATAGATTCATATTATGATAAAAATATTCTATTAACATATGTATTAGCCTGGGTTCTCCATAAAAACAGAATCAATAGGAAATATATATATAATTTATATATTTGTACTTATACATAACATATGTAATATGTACAATGTATAATAGAATTTTTATTTATGCATATAGTTATGTATAGAGAGACATTTATTATACTATACACAATTGGTTCACAAGCCAGCTATAAATGCTGCAGTAAGCAAGATGGAGACCTAGGAGAGGTGAAAGCCCTGAGACATCAGGAGAACCAGTGGTGTAAGTTCCAGCCCAAATCCAAGTCCAAAGGCCGAGACAGATGTCTCAGATTAAAGACAGGCAGAGAGTAATTTCTGCCTCACTCTGCCATTTTGTTCTATTCAGGCCTTCTGTAACTGAGGCCCAGCCACACTGGGGAGGGTTATCTACTTAGTCTATGAATGTATATGCTAATCTCATCAAGAATCACCCTCACCTACACACCCAGAATAATGTGTAACTAAATATCTGGGCATCCCGTGGCCCCATCAAGCTGACACATAAAATTAACCATCACAATACATGACATGTTTTCATCTCTGCACCTTTACTCAAATTCATATACACATGGAATGGTGTTTTCCATTATTTCTATTTCAGAGTCCTGCTTTCTTTGAGGTGAACCCTATGACTGTATTTCATGAAAGTCTTCTCAACCACACTCAACCCCTGGTCCTTCCTTTTTCTATTGAATTCTTACATCATTGATGTATAGAGGCATAGTATATACATATAAAATTTAAAAATTTGTATCATATAAGATGGCATGTGCTAAATCCCAATAGAACGTATATACTAAATAACTACCGTATGCTTAGTCTTCAGATTGAACTATTCTGAGGGCAATCAGGTTAGGGTCAGATCAAATGTACGTTGAACTCATAGCTCCTACAAAATACACTTGCATATTATTTCCTGGAATCAGACTTTCTTTCAAAGCTATAAACTTTCAATGCTACATAGCTAAATCAGTATTTCTATCCTCTGACTCACTATACCAGGGATTCTGAATGTGAGCATTACAGGCTCCAAACTCAATTGGCGTTAAGGTATCTGTAAGCTCCATGTAACTGTATACAAAATATTGTGTTTGTAATATATTTGTGAGAGTTCAGGCCTCTGCTCATATTCTCAAGAGTCCCTGACCCCAAGAGATTAAGAACCAGTATCAGTGGTTATTTCCTATGGTATCTGTTATGGACATCAAACTTTTTTATCCCAGTATTTTTAATGAATCTTTTTCCTTCTTGGTAGACTGTATGCACTTGTATTGAATTTTTTTTTTCTATTATAATGAAATCAGTTTGAATTAAAACCTATTGAGGGGCGCCTGGGTGGCTTAGTCGCTTAAGCATCCGACTTTTGCTCAGGTCATGATCTCGCGGTTTGTGGGTTCGAGCCCCGCGTCGGGCTCTGTGCTGACTGCCAGCTCAGTGCCTGGAGCCTGTTTCAGAGTCTGTGACTCCCTCTCTCTCTGACCCTCCCCTGCTCACACTGTCTCTCTCTCTCTCTCTCTCTCTCTCCTAGAAATAAATAAAAACATTTAAAAAAATAAATAAATAAAACCTATTGAAACATGGCTATTTATTACTATATCACGGTCATTGCTATATAATAACCACAAAATCTCAAAGGCTCAGAGTAACAGAGAGAATTTATTTTACTCAAGAGCCTGTGAGTCCCCTGGGGCAGCCCTGCTCAGCATGTCTCATATCCTCCTGGGACCAGCAGGAATGGGTTCTTCTTGGGGCAAGGGCAGAGTACAAGAGAGCAAACCTTACCATGTGAGCCCTCTTCAAGTTTCTGCTTGTGGGGAGTCTATTAGCAAACAATGGCCAAAATAAGTCATGTGGCCAAGTTCACAGTCAGAGGAGGTCGTGGGTGGTGCTGGAATATATCCACCTTTAGAGGGAGAAACTGCAGAGCTGTAGACAAAGGAGGTGAATACAGGAAACAATTCAGAATTGAGCCCAAGAACTTAACCACATTTTCTAACTCTAACTGTAAAGTAGAGCTACAATTAAACAAAGTATGCCACAGATAGTAATAAGAGCAGATACAATTTAGAGACTCAGAGTAATGCATTTTACATACAGCGTCTTATTTAACTCACACAGCCACCCATAAATAAATCATTGTGAATAAATCTTATCCTTATGACAGATGACAAACTGAAGTCTAGAGCATTTAAATAACTTAGCTAAGGACACACAGCTAGTAAGTGATGGAACAGGCATTCTAATCTATATCTACTTCTGTGTTAGAAATAAAGTATTGTGTAACTAAAGACATGATTGTTTAATTTGCAAATAACAAAAACTTAAACTGGCTCACACAAAAATGTGAGAGGGAAGCGATTACTGGCTACATGTTCAAAATGTGGGAAAGGAAGTGGGGAGAGTTGCCCGGTCAACGGCACGGGAGCTCTTACCCTGTTGGGCATTTCCCTCTTTAGGTTTCTTTTCCACCTCTCTCAGCAAGTGGACTGCATTTGTTCAGACAGGCTTTTCTGACGAGTAGATCTGGCTTCCAGAAGCTTCTGGTTTATACTTTACCTAGCTGTGTCCAAAGAAGAAACACACATTTATCCACAGGCCCAGCTACAGCCACTTCCTGGAAGGATTTTCCTAGCTAGACTAAGTCACAGGTCCATGCCTAGACCAATCAATGTGCTGGGGATGCGGGGTGCCATGATTAGACCAGCCTGATTTCCCACCAATCACCGTAGTCAAGGATGTCATTAGCGGGGTGCCTGGGTGGCTCAGTCATTGGGTGGCTGACTTCAGCTCAGGTCATGATCTCACAGTTCGTGGGTTCGAGCCCCACGTCGGGCTCTGTGCTCGCTCAGAGCCTGGAGCCTGTTTCAGATTCTGTGTCTCCCTCTCTCTCTGACCCTTCCCTTCTCATGCTGTCTCTCTCTCTCTCAGAAATAAATAAAACGTTAAAAAAATTAAAAAAAAAAAGCATGTCATTAGAATGAGGCTCTCATCACAATCACAGGGGCTTTGGGCAATGGTGAGAAGGTGGTAGGAATGCTATTCCCAAGAGAAGAAACAGACAAAACAAGTAATGATAATGATCAGTAAATTGCAAAAATTATTTAACATCTTAATTTCAAACTGTTCTCAAATGGTCAATTGTCCCTTCTCCAGTGTTAAAAAATTATGTTTTCTCCTTCATATAATAGCCATTTTCCAAGTGCTAATTTGATTAAGAGCAATCCTACTTTTGAGAAATATCATAATCTCAATTTGCACTGTTTCTGAGTGTTCCACTAATCAATTCTGAATTCATAATGTGAATCAAGCCTTCTGATGTTCATCAATAGTAATATAGTACAAAGCTGTCATTGAAACAGAAATAGTGAAATTAATTCTTTTAGGAATAAACTTTATCAATATAGTGGGAAGAGAAAAATAAGCAGGAAAGACTCCAAATTTTTAAAACTCAAATTGTATATCCTGTAGATACTTAAGAACATAATTTTACTCAGAGCTGAAAGAAGAGGATATCATATTGAACAAGAAATTCCTCTTAGGGGATCATTTTTCTGCAGGGGAAAAAAAGGTGTTTATTTGATTCAACCTTCTGACCCTGGTAATATTACTAGCCTAGCACTGTAAGCTGTGTCATAAAGCATGTGTGTGGATGATGAAAAACAAACAAAAATGTTTTGAGCATCAGCAGTCTCGTCAGATTAAAAATGTGGGGCACATTCTCATTTTTACCTTTCCTCTTTACCTAGGGGTCTGAAAGTTTGATCATACAGAATATGGATATCTTTGTAGATGAGAAATAATGGAAGGATTCATAGAAAACCAGTGTGATTAGATGAAATAGACCCAGAGTTTTTGGCAATTAATTCAGACATTATAGTTTCTTTTACCTCTCTGACCTATGACTCCTCTTCTTTAAAATGGAGATAAATCAGGGCACCTGGGTGGCTCAGGTGGTTAAGCGTCTGACTCCAGTTAGGTCATGGTCTCGTGGTCCATGGGTTCAAGCGCTCTTTGGGCTCTGTGCTGACAGCTCTAAGACTGCAGCCTGCTTCCGATTCTGTGTCTCCTTCTCTCTCTGACCCTTCCCTGCTTGCTCTCTCTCTCTCTCTCTCTCTCTCACTCTCTCTCTCAAAAATAAATAAACTTCAAAAAAATGGAGATAAATCTAATAATAACCGATTTGTAGAATTGTAAAGAACTAAAAGATCATTTTAAGAGTATTTTAGGTTGCAAAATACAAAATACCCCCAAGTTACAGAATGAAAGAATATTATCAGATGGCACTGCTAATATGAATTCTTTCCCCAACAAACTTGAGAAATACAGGGTGTCCTTTTTGCCCACTAGTAAGAAGAAAGGGTGTCTGGAGCAAATTAATACCATTCATGAGACCCTAGAAGGTTTCTTTAATCTTCTTAAAGGAATAGACTTTTATCATTTGTTTTTCTTGAATGATAAATTACCAATTTCAAATGATCCATCCCCTTATGAAAACAAGTCAAGATCTGCTATTCTAAATGAAAAATTAACTTCAGTAGTAAATTCTAGTTACTGAATAAAACTACAGGTCATAAAAGTAAATTTCACAAAAATAACGATAGGATTATTGTGGTCATATTTTTAAAAAGTCTTTATCTTAGACATAAAGAAACATTGAAGTCTAGGTTTTCCATAAAAATCTGAGGAGTAAGTGCGTGAGGATACAAGTAATGGAAGAATACCCATGAGTTGACAATCATTGAGGTACAAGGGTTCATTCTCTGCACATTTATATATGTTCGCAAATTTAAAAAATGTAATAAACTTCATAAAGCGATCACATTTTCTTAAATTTGAAATGGCTAATCAGTTTTTTATGTGTGTGTATTATTTTATACATATGAATGATTTAAGTTTTGATAGGCACTTTCCCAAGTAATTGACATCATAGATAATTTTATATAGGAAAGAGAGAAGAAGGGAGAAAAAGAGAGAAGGTGGAAAAATAGGAAGAAGGGAGGGAGAGAAAGGTAAGGGATGGGAGAGAACATTAAACAGGTAGCCTTCATGACACTCAGGCTTTAGGCCTTAGGTTTCCTAACATTTTGTAGCTCTATGGAACACATCTGTTTTGATCTCTAGAAAGATTTGTATTAGCTGTACCTCCACTGGGGTAGCTAACTCCTCCCTTCAAGCTGGTCTTGCAAACAGTAAACATTGTATATAGGGAAGAAAGTAGGCAGATGTCTTCAGACAGTCCAGCAGAATTGCCATCTGTCCACTCTGCCCCCAACCAGGGACATTTCTTCTTTCCATATTTTTATTCTCTCCTTCCACAGTCTACCCCAGCATACAAAAAGCTTCCTCACTGCAGATCTGCCATGTGTGATGCTCCTACTTTTAAGACAACTCCATACAGCAGACGTGTTGAACGCCCACAGCATGTCAGGCACTAAGCCATTTGCGTGGGATACGATGAAACACAAGATGGACGGATGCCATCCCTACCCTCAGAGAGTGCATTCTCTCGGGAAATGAGTCATTTTTGAGTATGCTGAGTTTTAAGAAGGTGAAGTACAGGAAACTATGGGGAGTACAAAGCAAAAGTTAAGCTCTGCCATGCATTAGACTACAGGTATTTGTTTGGGCCCACGGAATCCCATGACAAACCTCCTTGGTTTTAGATACTTAGTAAACATTAGTAAATCCGTGAGTCATAAAACTTCAAGTTGTGCGATTTCTGATGACATAAACTTTTCAAATCATTCACTAATTAAAATTTTAATTTTACTTAATGATCAAGTTAATGCAGTTGTTGAGTGCATAACAACATGAACTGGTATTTGGCGGGGGGGTGTTGGTACTTCTAGACATTACACACTGAGAGTCTCAGATTCTACCTAAAGAATGCAACTCCTTTCAGAAAAGCTTGGCTGACTCCATCCAGCCTAGCCTTCTCCTTCCAGGTTAGGCCTCTGAATCTGTGATTTCATAGTGCCCATAGGTGTTCTCTCCTGTCTGAGCTCCCAGAGGTTCAAGGAAGCAAGAGTAAGAATGCCTGGATATAAGTGATCAAATCACATCATAATGATTTAGTCTCTTTCCATGTGTTACTTACAGTTCCGTCTATTGTTCTCATCCTGAGGCTAGCCCTCTCTCTCAGGGAGGGTGCTGGTTGTCCCAGATTTGCAATCTAGGAAGAGAGCTAGCCTGATATTTATATATTATATTTTATAAAAGGTCCCTGACTGAAATTGGTCAGCTTACGCTTTTACCATTGGACCAGTCTACGAGTTTCATGAAATAAACGTGGAGTGATGGCAAACTTGTTTCTCAAAGGCACATTTACTGGCTCTGACAAAAATGTCATTTCATGTACTTTATGACTATTTGATTATGTGTCTGTCTCCCCTAATGGACTACATGCTAGAATAACGACTGTCTTATTAATCTTTATATACTCAGTAACTAGTACAGAACTTCAGCCATAAAAGGCATTCAATAAATGTGACTTGAATAAATATACTATAAAAGAATGTAAATAAGCATCTAAGAAGAGAAGAGAGAAAAGATAGACTGTGCTGAAATAAGTCCTTAAGCACATCAGAGTGTGTGAGTGCAGGGATTTCCAGTGCCAGGCAATGTGTAGAGGATCAGAACTATTAAGAATAAGTAGCTCTTAACCTTTAAATCACTTTGAAAATGTTTCTGAGAAGATGTACTTCCTTATTACTCAGCTGACATCAGTCACAGAGAGGCTTCATTTAAATCTTGTCTCTCTTTTTAATAACAGCAAGAACGCTCAGGGGATGATTAAAATTGTACCATGTCCCTATAGCTTTGTGCCAACTCTGCCACTGTATCATTGAATGTTCTAGTCTGTGATGCACTAGGGATTGGGGGCCCAAAGTACCATCTGCAAAGCCAGAAACCTTGCTGATTTCAACTGAACTTTTGGGAACTATGAAGTGAAAGCATTCAAAAGCAGAAAATCCTACATCATTTTTATTATACCCTGATATTTGTGTTCACACAACTAAATTATTAATTTTTCTAACTGATGAGCTAGAGTCTAGATGAATATGTCATCTTACATTGGAGGCAGTGGTGATGATTCAAAGTGGTCCAGCAATCATAAATAGGACCACAACATAACAGCCAAACAAAACAAAACAAAACAGAATTTCAGGAAATTCTAGTGTCTTTAGGAACTAGAAAGAGAAAAAAAAACAACTGAGCCAAAAGTTAGCAGAAGAAAGGAAATAATAAAAATTAGAGCATAAATAAATGAAATAGAGAACAGAAAAACCATAGAAAAGATTAAAGGAGTTGGTTCTTTTAAAGAATAAACAAAATTGGCAAACTCTTAGGTAGACTAACCAAGGAAAAAAGAGGTCCTAAATCAACAAAATTATAAATAAGAAGGGAGACATTACTACTGATACCACAGAAATTCAAAGGATCATAAGAGTATCCTATAAACAGTGATATACCAATAAACTGGAAAACCTACAAGAAATGGAATTAAATCTTAGAAATGTATGACTTACCAAGACTGAGACAGGAAGAAATAAAAGGGCTGAATAGACCAATAACTAGTTAGGAGGATTAATCAGTAATCAAAAATCTTCCAATGAAGAAAAGTCCAAGACCAGATGGCTTCACTGGTGAATTTTACCAAACATTTAGAGAAAAAATTGATACCAATCCTTCTCAAACTCTTCCAAAAAATTGAAGAGGAAATTGTACTCCCAAACTCATTTTACAAAGCCAGTAATGAGGTGCCTGGGTGGCTCCGTTGGTTAAGCATCTAACTTGATTTTTGACTAATGTCATGATCTCATGATGACAATGGGCTCTGTTGGACATGAAAGATGCTTAAGATTCTCTCTCTCTCTCTCTCTCTCTTGCACCTCCCCCATTCATACTGTCTCTTTCTTTCCAAAGAAGAAAAAATAAAGGCCAGCGTTATCTTGATACCAAAACCAGAAAAAAACATAACTAGAAAACTATAAACCAATATCCCTAATGAATATAGATGCAAAAATTTTTAGTAAAATACTAGCAAACTGAATTTGGCAGTCCTTTAAAAAGATCATTCACCACAATCAAATGGGATTGATTTCTGGAATGCAAAGATGGCTTAAAACACTCAAATCAGTCAATGTGATATATCACTTTAATAGAATTAAAGAAAAGAATCACATTTTCATCTCAATAGTTGCAGAAAAAGCACTTGATAAAATTCAACATTCATTGATAATAAAAACTCTTAACAAATTCGGCAGAGAAGGAACATATCTCAGCATAATAAAGGCCATATATGTATGACAAACCCATAGCTTACATTGTTCTCAATGGTGACAGGTTGAAAGTTTTTCCTTTAAGAACAGAAATAAGACAAGGGTGACACCCTTATCACTCCTATTGAACATATTAATGGAAGTTCTCAGTAGAGGAATCAGACAAGGAAAATAAATAAAATATCAGAATTGAAAAGAAATGAATAAAATTATCTCTATTTACAGCTGACATGTTCTTATATATAGAAAACCCTAAACACTTCACCAAAATAACTGTTAGATCTGATCCATGAATTCAGTAAAGTTGCAAGATACAAAATTAACATACAAAAATCAGCATTTCTATACACTAACAACAAAATTTCTGGAAAATAATCTCACAATAGCATCCAAAACCATCTAATACTTAGGAAGTAAAAGATCTCCACACTGAAAACTACAAGACACCGATGAGAGAAATTGAAGAATACACAAATAAATGGAAAAATATCACATGTTCATGGCTTAGAAGAATTAATATTGCTAAAATGTCAATAATACCAAAAGCTATCTATAGATTCAAAGCAATCCCTATCAAGTTCCAACAATATTTTTTATAGAAGTAGAAAAATTGCTTCTAAGCTTTTTAAAAAATATTTATTTATTTTGAGACAGAGCATGCACATGGGGGAGGGACAGGGAGAGAGAAGGAGAGAGAGAATCTCAACAGTCTCTGCATTCAGCACAGAGCCTGATGTGGGTTTGATCTCACAATGCCAATATCAAGAGTTGGACGTTTAATTGACTGAGCCACCCAGATGCCCACATGGAAAAAATACTCTTAAAATTTATATGAAACCACAAAAGACAACTGAGTAGCCAAAGAAGAACAAAGCAGGAGGAACCACACCCCCTGATTTCAGACAATAGTCATCGAAACAGTATGGCAGTGGCATAAAAACAGACAAATAGACCAATAGAATAGAACCAAGAACCCAGAAATAAACCCACACATATATGGTCAACTAATATTAGACATGGAAGCTAAGAAGCCTCAATGGAGAAAAGACAGTCTCTTGAATAAGGGATACTGGGATAACTGGATACTCACAGCTTAAAAAGAAAAGAAATATGACTCATTTTTATGCCACTTACAATAAATAACTCAAGGTGGATTAGAGTCTTGAATGCAAAACCAGAAACCATGGCACTCCTAGAAAAAAAAAACCACAAGAATAAAGCTCATTGATGTGGATCTTGATAAGGATTATTTGGATATGACACCTAAAGCACAAGCAACAACAACAAAAAAATAAACAAGTAGGACTACATCAAACAAAAAGCTTCTGTGCAGTAAGAGAAACCATCAACAAAGTGACAAGGCAATCTATAGAATGGGAAAAGTATTTGTAAACCACGTATCTGATAAAATGTTAATATCCAAAATACATGAAGAACCCATACCAATCAACAGCAGTAAAATAAATGATCCAATTAAGAATGGGCTTAAATACACATTTCTTTTAAAAAGACATATACATATAATTACATGGAAAGATGCTTAACATCACTAGTAATTAAGGAAATGCAAATTAAAGCCACAATGAGATATCACCTCACACCTGTTAGAATAGCCATCATCCAAAAAAATAAAACCACAAAAGAACAAAAAAACAAAAGATAGCAAATGCTGTTGAGGATGTGGAGAAAAGGGAACAGTTGTATACTCCTGAGCTTGTAAATTGGTATAGCCACTGTGGAAAATGGTATGGAGAATCCTCAAAAATTTAAAACTAGTACTACCATGTGATCCAGCAATTCTAGTTCTGGGGAATATATCCAAAGAAAGGTAAAACAGTAACTTGAAAAGATACCTGCATCCCCCATCATAGCACCATTATTTACAATGGCCAAGACATAGAACAACCTAAGTGTCCATTGATGGATACACGGACAAAGAATTTGTGATATACACATACACACACACACACACACACACATACACACACAGACATACAACACACACACATGCATATATAAAATGGAATATTCATCCATTAAAACTGAGAAAATTCTACCATTTGTGATGTGGATTGACTTTAAAGGCTTTGTGTTAAATAATCTCAGAAAAGAGAAATACTACATAATGTTACCTAATTATATGTGGACTCTAAAACAAAAGCAGAAACAAAAAACCTTATAGAAAAAGAGATCAAACTTGTGCTTATAAGAGTTGGAGGGTGGAAGGTAGGGGGATTAGAGGAAGGTGGTCAAAAGGTACAAACTTGCATGGTGCCTGGCTGGCTCAGTTAGTAAAGCATGCAACTCTTGATCTTGGGGTTGTAAGTTGAAGCCCATGTTGGGTGTAGAGATTACTTAAAAATAAAACCTTTTTTTAAAAAAGATAAAAATTTCAACATGGTGACTATAGCTAACACTGGTGGAGGATATACAGGAAAGTTGTTAAGAGAGTATATTGATCCTAAGAGTTCTTATCACAAGGAGGTTTTTTTTCTTTTTTCTTCTTTCTTTTTATTGTATGTATATGAGATGGTGGTAGTTAGCTGATGTACTCCTTTCACAATATATGTAAAACAGACCATCATGCTGTATGCCTTAAGCTTACACAGTGATGAGTGTCAATTATTTCTCAGTAAAACTTGGAGTGGGGGGGACTCACATTACAAAGTAAAAATTCAATAATAAACATAGTTTCTTCTAATTACGGCATAATGAAGTGAAAACGGTAATATAAACATAAAACGCACATATATGGAAAAATGAAACCTATTAAAACATTAGGAAAATTAAATAAGCAGATTCTTCAAAAGAATAATTCAGAATATTTAGTCATTGCCTTCAGAAATAAAAATACAATATAAAATGATATTAGTACAAAAGCCACTCATAGACATCTGTATTTGTTATTGTGCTGTGGGGAATAAAATATTTTTTTAAATATTTATTTTTGGAAGAGTGCAAGCGGGGCAGGGGCAGAAAGAGGGGGACAGAGGATCTGAAATGGGCTTTGCACTGACAGGCTGACAGTAGCAAGTGGGGGTCCAACTCATGAACCAGAAATCATGACCTGAGCTGAAGTTAGATGCTCAACTGACTGAGCTGCCCAGGTGCCCTGGGAATAACACATTTAAAAGAACTTAGTGACTTTGTTTAGGAGAGTGAATCCTATGCATGTACAGACACAGACACAGACACACACACAGACACACACACACACACACACACACGTAGAAAGGCAGAAGGAGAAAACTTCTATTAATGTTTTATAAGGGAACAGCCTGTCTATACCTATAACATGTAGAAGGATGGGGGAGAGGAAGAAATCCATCATTCACTCTGGGAGGGTGCATCAGATCTTTGCAATTAGTTGAGTTTTTCTATAAATTAATGTATTCAGGGTACTCATGCAAAGGTCCTTTTCAGTCCAAAGGTTAAATCACTGAAACAAAAAATGAAGGCAGTAATTTGTCTTTAACCCTTATGCTGAAATTTCTCTCAGAACCAACAAAATAGAAAGCAATCCGTAGAACAAATAATGCATAACTACTTATGGCAGTTCTTTCTATTTTTATTTCTGTGTTGGAAAAGGTTTTGGTTATATAACATAATAAAAATAAATCAGACAGACATGATAATATTAAAGTGAGAGCATGAGATAATCAGTCAAAAATGCACTCTAGTTATTTTCAAACTGGCTCCACACCTGGAAGCCAACTTAGTCATCACCCCCATCTTGTCATCGCTATGAGAATTTTTGAGTGACTGCCTAAGACAGAAGCCATAGGATTTCAAAAGACCAAGATTCAGCCTGATAAACTGCTAAACCCTACTATTTGATAAAGGGCTTGGCATTTTTTAGAATCATTTAACTTGGAGAAATGACTTAAGAGTAACTGTGACTGAATTTTACCCATTTCAAAAAGTTGCTGAGTCCATTAAACAAATAAATTCTTGGAATTAATATTATCGTGTTCCACGTGTAATTACTGCCACGTATTAAGTTCCTCCTGCCTCACCAGCCTAGAGATAAAGTGAGGTCACATAACAAAAATTCCCTCCTAACAGAGGTCTGTCTCTAGTATTCTGGGTAGTCCTCAGGACAACTCTCCATGTGCCTCCCCCCCTCCAAAAATCCACTCAAGTTCTTCCTCTGCAGCCTCTTGGTGACACTTGTCATTCAAGAAGCCATTTGGGGGACCCTGAGAGCCACTGCCTAGGCCTGCCATGAGGCACCCAAATGTCTCCTCAGCCTTCTGACCTCAGAAGTGCACGGTGCCCTCCTTGTTCACCAAGGAACGTTCACCAAGGAACGAATCTCTCCTACCCCACTTTACGTTGAGAGTGAA